ACCATGATGCAACGCAATCAGAGTGCGCACACCGCCTGACCGTCAACCATCAACGTGACCCCCACCATTCCCCATTATTGAGACCCTCTCAGTGGCCCAGTCCCCCCCAGAGGAAATCCAGATAAGAGGATACTTTTTATCTCTTCTGAAAAGTAGTTACAAAAAATACCCCTCCACTAGGACGAGAGATTACATAACTAATGAATTGAGTGTCGATGTGTTAAAGATGTAATTTTCTTCTTCTGTAAACTTTGCAAGGTATAAACTGTCATAATCCTGTAAATTTTGCAGAAATGTGTCGTTTCAAATATAGAACCAGCAGGCAAGTTCTCCTGACGGGTGAAGAGGAATGTGGTGCAATTTGGCCTTATGATCGCATGTGAAACTGGCAGAAGTCCTTTTGATTATCTTCGCTATGGTTATTGTTGCGGTTTTGGGGGGAAAGGAACACCTGTGGACGCGGTTGACAAGTAAGTTAACTTTATAAAAAGTTATAAAATGGAAGCCCTCTTATCAGGTTCTATCTTGTCAGCGGTTAGCTACATACAACCTCCTTTACAATGCCTGTTGGTACTGCCATATTATCCTCTCATCGAACTTTCCCGTCAGCGGTAGCAACCATTTTTGAGTTCAATACGATTTAGAAATTTCCTTTGTCTTTAAGCTCGCGTCAGTAGAGACCCGAAAGGAAATCTCTTTAGTCTTTGATCGAACCCGTCAATGCTCTGAATCTCCTGAGCTGAAGACATTTTAAGTGAATAACCTGACCCGCGCGGGGATATCGCGCTTTAAAAAGTTAAACTGGGCCATTGCGGCAATTTATCATCTTAAATTGTTATTTTGAAACATTTCTGGTCTAGTTACTTTCAAAACCTTGCTAAATGTTTCGAGACAACGGCTTATGAGTTAATAGAGATACCTATTGTTTGTGAGGGCGGAAAAAATCGCTGCCTCTATGGTCTTATGGGATTTCAGCAGAAGGGATTTGAACAGTTCTGAGTCTAAAGAACTGTTACTGCCAATTAACGAATGGTAAACACCACAGCGTACACTATTGAGTTATGGATGCACGCGGGAGGTTGCTAAGCACGAAAGAAGAGTAAGAGTCGCGCGAGGCGATAGTCGAGAGCGACTCTAGCTTCTTGAGTGCTTAGCAAACCTCCCAAGTGCATCCATAACTCAATAGTGTACGCTGTGGTGTTTACCATTTGTTTTATAACANGACCAATTCACACAATGAACTACATTAATTAACACTACTGCATTACTTTGTAAGATCCATCCCTGCTGCAACATCACAGTTTCTTTAGGAACTTACTATCCTAATTGAAAAATCCTTACAGAGATGTAGAAGTCTAAATAAGAGAAGCAGGACTTCAAATTGTCCAGTCAAACCTATTTTTGCTGGGCACAACCCATTTTGTGGCTGGACAAACATCACTTATGTCTTATTGCTATAAAAATGCCCCCTTCCCTCCCTTGGCATGGTGACTCTTTAAAATATGTTAAAATATGACAAGGTAATTTCTGTTCGGCCTTCTTCCCTTCTTTGAACGTTTTAATATTATGACTCAAAATGCTACATTTTTTCCTCGCAAGTGTTAATGACCAGACAAAGTGTCTAGCCATCTAAAGAAATAACTGGACAAAGCACAAAGCTTATTTTTGATTAAACATTGTCTGTTGACCATCCATTATTTCAAACCCTGATAGAGTATATAAAAATGCATGCAGAAGTTCAATACCTCTCTGGTGT